CCGTCTCCCTGGCCGTGCTTGGGCGCCGCCCGGGACTGCTCGCCCGCGCTCCCGAGCCGCACCCCGGCTTCCTTTTCTTGGCCCCGGTGCTGTCATCCTGGGTGTCCTCGCGAGGTGGCGCCACCTGCCGTGCTTCTGGGACCTGTGTTCCTCGTTGCTTTATGGTCCTTTCGTCCAGATCCCCTGCATACTTTTCTAAATGCCACCCTGACATTTTCTCCAGAACCTACGTGGCCTGCCCGTGACCCTGTGGCCTTTTACTCTCTTGGACCAGAAAACCCCTGCCTCACTTGGACTCCCTGCAAGCATCTCCTCTCTGCGAAGCTTTTGTGACCCTGCAGTCCTAGGTGCTCACTTCCCCACCTGTGCCGTAGCTCTTATGTAATTATTGATCCACGTTTGCCTTCCTTGTTAGATAGACCAAATTCTTTGAGACTCAAGGATGATTTTCTTTCATCTGTGCACTCCCAGTTCCTGGCATGCAGTTCATGTTCAACAAATGATTGTTGATTGAATAAATGAACTTAACGCTCACCTCTCTGTAAAAATAAATAGATAGATCAGTAAATAAAGAAAAATACATAATTAAATGCCTGATTATGTAAATGATAATAAATTAAGGCTTTTACGTTAACTTTTAATTTTATATGTAATTTAATGTAATGATGATTAATTTTATCAGTATATCAAATCAAACTATATTTACTACATTGAAATTACCATTTTAATAAACTTCTAGTTTCCTTACATAAAAACTTATATTCACAGTTGTGTATATATACTCATGTTTCTCTATAACTGTTAATTATACCAAGTATATTTTTATTAACACCACTTTTAACCAAAGTAATCAACTTTTGTTCTCTCTAAGGAGGAAAACTAGAAGACAGAAAACCATGAAATGTCTAGCTACTTTTTTATGAGTATACATTTTACATGACCTTTATAAGTTTTAAAAAGGTTTAGTTGACATAAAATAATTGTACACAGTTATGGACTATAGTATGATATTTTATGCATGTATACAATATGTAATGATCAAATTAGGATAATTAGCATGTCCCCAACCTCAAACATTTATTATTTCTTTGCATTGAGGACAGTCAAAATCTTCTCTTCTAGCTACAGCAATGGGTCACTTAGCAATGGAAATGTGTTCTAAGAAATGTGTCCTCAGGCAATTTCATGATTGTGCGAACATCATAGAATGTACTCACACAAACCTAGGTAGTATAGCCTACTACATACACACCCTGGTTATTTGGTATAGCCTGTTGCTCCTAGGCTACAGACCGGTACAACATGTTACTGTATTGAATACTGTAGACAATTGTAACACAGTGAGAAGTATTTGTGTAGCTAAACATTATCTAAACATAGAAAATATACAGTAAAAATGCAGTATTATAACCTCATGGGCCCAGACCACTGTTGTATATATAGTCTATCACTAACCAAAACATTGTTATGTGTCACATGAGTATATTTGAAAATATGGAATGTTTCACAAATTTGCATGTCATTCTTGTGCAAGGGTCATGATAATCATCTCTGTATCATTCCAATTTAATATGTACTGCAAAAGCAAGCACTTTTGTAAGTTTTGATATACATATACAATATCAACCAAAGCATTTTCACATTCTACTAAATCATAGTCATTTTATAATGTATAATAAAAAACTAAATTTAAACTAGCTTTAGTAACCAAAGTTTTGTATAATTTATTACTTAGAAATTGTGAAGTATTCAAGGATTAATTTAATGCTATCTAAGGTCTTGAAAAGTTAATTGAGGATCTGAAAAATTACAATTTTAGTTAACACATTTGGTCCTTATAATTGCTAGTAGTATAATTTTATAAAGTCAAAACCCCTTTAAAAGATATCTGTGTCATAATTTTATTTAGTTAAACACCATTTTATCTTTTGTATACCATTTTATCTTTTGGTGGAGTCAATGACAACTTTTTTGACCCATAAGATCAACAGAGACAATTTAGAGCTAGAATATTTTTATCAACATTAATTTTATGTAATAAAACCTGGAAAGAATTAAAAAGTGGACAAAAGACATGAGTAGACACTTCTCAACAGGCAGCCAACAGACATTGAAAAAGTGCTCAGCATCACTAATCATCAGAGAAATACAAATCAAAACCACATTAAGATATCATCTAACCCCTGTAAGTATGGCCATCATTAATAAAACAAACAACAACAGATGCAGGCGAGGATGCAGAGAAAAAGGAACACACTGCTGGTGGGAATGCAAACTAGTGCA